TAAAAAAAAAAAAAAAAGAAAAAGAAACGTAGGAACAGATATAAGTATTCACATTTTTATACAATAAACACGTCGGAGGTATCACGAGTTCTACAATAGAATCAGAAAAGAACCCCTTGGAGGATAATTATGGCGACGCTTTAGACACGCCAGGCTAACTATAGTTCGCCATTTTGTACAATCGGAACATTGCATGATATTACAAAACACATTTACACAGAAGTAATCTTTCGCCCGTTATCAACCACGGCTCGCAACTGAAACCAATTACGGCGCTAATCGCTGCAGGCATGTTAAACTAATTACAACTTCACATTTTTACACGGTAACAGCGACCAAGTTCCCTGTCGCGCACTACAATCCGTCCCGTTTTCGTGAAAAAGGTTGAAAGAGAGAACCAAGGATTAAAGAGAGGACTCGTCGCCGGCTCGAAGAGAGGTAATCGTACATTTACGCATACATCGATCGACGAAAACAAGCCCCAAGAACGCAAATTGCACTCCAACCCCCGATAAGACACCCATCGACGTAACCACCCTTCCTTCAGCCAGCAGTCTTACCAACTTTGCATCCAGTGCGACATAGGTCTGGTCGAAACGATCACCAGAATCCAAAAATATCACCGTTCAAAAGGTTAATTACGAGAACACGCGAGATTGATGGGTGAGCCGGACCGCGGGGTGCGAGCAGCCTCGACTCCCGGAAACCACGGGGGTCAAGAGCTCGAGTTTCCGAGTAGCCGACTGCTCGACGTTCTACGACGATTCCCGCGATTATCTACATCGATCGCTAACGTTTATACAAACAGGAGGGACGCGGGGGTGGGATGGGCGAGAGCGGTGTTCCATTTTCGAAGCAACGGCGTCGAAATGGGATGGACGAACGGCCCGAGAGAGATCTGTCCAAGCGTCGCGTCGACTCGGCTTCGCCGGTGGCGCCTCCTACGCGGGCCCCGAACCGACGAGCGACGATCTTCGCGCCATCTCTCGGCATCTCGTTCGATTCGGGTCGCCCGTGAAACACGCGTCGACGCGGGTGCTCGCGATCGAATAGCGAATCGTAGGATCGAATCTCTTTGTATCCCTGATCGGATCTCCTTCGTTCGTTGCCACTCGTTTTCGCAGCTGTATTTCTCCTCATTCTCCCCTTTTCCTTTCCGTCTCTTCGTTGCTTTCGAGGGCGTCGAGGCGTGATCGAGCAGCGTGCGTTTATGCGTCGTTTACGTCTCTCTAATAATTAATATAATATTATATTCAATAATTAATACAGAGAGTAGTTATTTATATATATATAATATATATATAATATAATATAATATCACTAGGGTACATATGTACAGGGGCTGCAAATAGTAGGAGGTGCTCTCGTATTGCAATGTCTCCCTCTCGCTTACACCTAAAACGCACGCGGGCAGAACGCAGCCGTGCTGCTGTCGCTAGTGACGGCCATTCATTAGCTTCCGTTAACCACTTTCACGATTATCCCGGCTACCTTTCGAAGCACTTCGAGCGTGACGTCTCGCCGGATCCGCTGTGTAAAATCGCAATGAAACTGACGAAACGTTGAAAGTCTTGGAACACGGCAATTTCCTAACCTCTAGCGCCCCCTAATCCCCCGTGCATTCGCCGTCACTGGTCGAGCGTTCGAGTATACAACCGATCAGCGAAGCGTAGTCGCACGAACCTAGAGATCCTACCTAGATCTTTCCAAGACCTCCAAAACTCGCAACATCGTCAAGGACCGGTCACTCGAGACGCTCGTGACACTCCAAGTGATTCGAAACGTTCCTCCTTCGCGTGGAACCATCCCCAAAACTACTGCCACGGCCACCGGTCAGGTCTCAGCCCCTTCCAGCCACGCCCGTTCCACCCTTCCGTGCCCCGGAAACAAAAATGTACACCAGCAACGGTCGCAGTCCTCGTGCAGCGTCCACGCGCGTAGAGGCCGGGCCCCGCGCGATCCATCCCGGCCATTTTATGTACACTTGCAGGGTGGCAGCCGCGGCGACGTGTCCCGGAAGATCGAACACACGGCCAGTCCCCAGGCTACAATTGCACTTCGTTATCTCGAGCGTCCCTCGTCCAGGTGCCCGGGGCCCGGCTCGCTGTGGACCGTCCCGGATCAGGGCACAGAGGGTGCCAGAGCCTCGGACCGACGACCCTCTCCCCTGCTACGACGGCTCGGAGGTTGAGTCCGGCTCCCTCTCGTCGCCGGAGAGCTCTTCAGGTTCGCAGGTTTCGGCCAGCTGCTCGTCCTCGGGGTCGTCGTTCGTGCTGGTCACGGGCTCGTTCTCCTGTCACGGACTCCCTCCGCCAGCGTCCGCGTCGCCCCTGTGTCCACCGGGTGTCAGACTAGGGCTGCGCCTCCTCTTCTCTTGCAAGCCGTTCACCATGTTCTCGATCGACTTCAATTCACCGGCGGAGCTGCTGCCGGACGTGAGACCAGCTGTGGGTGTCGGTGATCCGGTAGGTGGCCTAGGAGGTGGGGACCTGGGACTCAGTGTCCTGCTGCCAGGGGTGACGGTCTCGAACGCGGAGCCGTGAGACGGCGCTGGTAAGCTGTACGGCGCAAATCGGTGTCCTTTCAGCTGGTGAAGAGGACTGGCCAAGGGGTGGGGGTAGTGCGCGAAGAGGGCCGGATGTTGGGACGCGGCCAGGGCTAGTTGCGCGTTGAACAGCATGCCCGGGGTGACACCGCCGTGGATCCCGAGGGGACTGGGTGGTATCAGAGGGCCTGGGCCCGGGTACAGGCCAGGTACCGGTGGGTAGAGGTACGGTAGCAGGGGCGGATGAAGCGGTGGACCCACCGACACGTCGGGTCTGGGCCCCTCGGAACTCGTTGGGCCTGCTCCACCGCCGCTCTCCGAACCCGACGACTCGCTACCCTCTCCCCTCTCGCTCGTTCGGTCGTCCCTCTCGCGGGAGTGCTCGCGTTCGCGTTGGTGGTGCGCCGGATGCGGCGTGTCGGGCCCCACGACGTCTAGCAGCTTGTCCTCGTCGTCCAGGAGGTCGTTCACGGAGTTGGACGAACGCCGCTTCTCCGGGGACGCTGGTCCACCTGCTGTCAAACGAGAGCCGCCTCCTGACACTGTCAACAGCGCCTGCCTTCTGCAACAACGACGCAGAGTTAGCAATCTTCTAGGGCTAGCCACTATACTACGTTCTGGCTTTTTTATCCAACGAATTAATTAAATAAAGGATGAAGATTTTGGAGACGGGATACTGTTTGATTAATTGAAAAACAATCGCAATCTCTCTACGTAAAAGGTGATGACAACGGAAGAATTGCTCGAAGATTAAAATGCACGTGATTTATCTTATCATCTCGAGCTTATTTATTTATTTTTCTATTTAATTTTCACGTGTTCAGGTACGGTATTTCTGGGAGAAATTTGTCCGGTCTTTTAGAGTTTGTTTGAAACAACCTATTGCGCGGGAAAACGTAACAACGACAGAGGGACGAGTTGGGATGCTTTGAAATTCACCCCTTAATCGCGCTGTTTCGCACCTCTGGCAAATTACAGGCGTTTTAGGTGTCGCGTGTACTCGGTGTGACAACACTCCTATGGCTGTCGTTGGTAAGCTTGCGTCTAAAATGCGTATTGATCGTGCGTGGTATGTGTGACGTGTCATTAGATCGATTATATTGGGCCAGGTACGGGCAGTCCGTAATTGCAGCGCGCCTATATGCGAATTTCAGTTCGACACAAAGGGTTCCATGCTTCGCAGGCGAAGTATCGCGAAACTAATTAACGTTGTTGCGATCGAATGTTCATTTCTGTTATGTTAATTCCCCTGGGCCAGATTCCTGTTTAATTACAGACCGGAACAAATTTTTTCCCCTGCCCCGTCTGCGTTATACGATCGTTCGTGTCGGTTTAGAAATCACCGGTACACGTATCGTATCGGGCATTTTTATTTCCTTGTTAGATACCTCGATGAGTTTCGATACACCGCGATGTTCGAAGCAATTTGCTTTAAAACAATGACACGCTTCAATTTTCGAAGCAATTTCCTTCGAAAACCCTCGCGAATCCAATTTTCAAACCAATTTACTCTAAGAAACTTCACGATTTCGGGTTGAAAACCAATTTGCCCCAAAAACCGCCGTTGTTCGACACTCAAATCGATCTATCTGCGCGCCCATTCCAAATCTCAATTACCGGAACGACATGACTGGAAAATTTCACGAGCCGACCTCTCTGGAACGACTCGTCTGAAAAATTTGCATAGGAAAACCTCGCACCTGTTATTATTTTCCACGATAGGAAAAATTTATCACCGAATTCAACCTCGACTCGTTCAACCGACATCATCGAGAAATCTACAGAACTCGATGTTCCGTAACATTACGTATCTAGTTTCCCCGTTCGATTTTCCCTTATTTCTAATGTTAACCAAAACTTGGCATCCTCGAGGAATCACGTTTCGATGGAAATCGAAAGGAGCACGCTAAATCTCGAATTTGGTTCGTTCGTTCGGCACAAAATCATCTTCAAAATAAAGAAAATAAAGAAAAAAAGGAAAAGAAAAGAAAATTAAGGAAATTTCTATGTTTCGAGCTCTATTCGATAAACGAGTGTAATGCAGAAATTTCACAAAGGTTTTCCAAGGTTTCCCAGGTTTCCCAAAATTTTCCAAAGTTTTCCAAGGTTTCCCATGTTTCCCAAAATTTTCCAAAGTTTTCCAGGGTTTCAAAGTTTTCCCAGACTTTCCAGTTTCCCGAAGTTTCCCAGATTTTCTAAAATTTTTCAGAGTTTCCCAAGGCTCCGCAGGTATTTCCAAACTTTCCACAGTTTTCCGAAGTTTCCCAGAATTTCCCAAGGTTTTTCAGATTTTCCAACACTTTATATCGTAGGATCTAAATGCACTAAATCTGAGACTCAGTTATTCACACTGTCACAATCCTTCACTCCTCACAAAATAAACGAAACCCTAAAATCCACTAAATCTCAAATTTTCTAATAACACTTGCATCACGTCACATTGCTCAGAATCCACTCAAAAGTCTGAAAGCACTATTATCATAACTCAAACACAATACCTTCGACAAATCACCATCGCACGGACCATGGTAAACGAAGCTACCGAACCAAACACTGCAAAACCACACCCTGAAGACTCGAAAAGCAAGAACACTATGATCGAAAGCGTTGTTCGCGAAGCCCACGAGCCAGCTAGCCAGCGACGAAGCGATCCAGACGTCCTCGGTGGAACGGATCCTCGACACTGCGATGGACCTGGTCACATGGAACATTGGCGGGCGATAGGGATGCAAATCAGAGTATTTGAACAAACACGCCGAGCAAACGTAAGCTTCGTGTAAGACTTGGCTAGAGCCGCTCGAGAGCCGGACGTAACGAGAGGCTTACCGATACCTTAATGCCGTGTAATGCGATCAATGCACCGACACAGCCGTGGCAAAACGACGACGAGGCGAAACAGAGACCCCGCGAGACATGGACGAACGGGGACGCCGGGAGGAAGAAGGAGGAACGCGAAGTACATCGTCGGTGTACGGATGAATCCGTGAGCCTGGAAAGGGTGTTACGCTACGGTTCTCCGGTTTCCGACGCGCTTAAGTGCGAGAGCACGTTAAAATCAATAGTTTGCGTGGACGACACGGGATTTGGTAAGCGAACCACCTCTCTTTCCCCGGCCACTCCACGACTGGCCGATCTTTCGATCAGCGAGGGGAGCCGAGATAGGCTTAGACGGGGCCCCAGCTGTCTTCCTAGGATTCGCGAGTGATTCCGATCATTAGACAACCAACCACCTTCGCATAGTCTTTGCCACTTCTGGAGTAGTGGGTCTAGGTCTCTTGGTCTAACTGGTGAAGTGACCGTTGCAATGAGAACGGAGAATCTTTATGAGGTCTGACGAAAAACGAGTTGGTCTGAGAAAGAAATGAGTTGATCCGACGAAGAAACGGGTTAGTATAACGATGAAATGAGTGAGTCTGATGAAGAAACGGGTTGGCCTGACGAAAAAAACGGATTGCCCTGACAAAAAGTGAGTTGGCTTGACGAAAAAACGGGTTGGTCTCAGGAAAAACGGTTGCTCTGACAAAAAACGGATTGGCTTGACGAAACAACGAGTTACCCTGACAAAAAACGAGTTGGTCTGACGAAAAGACGGGTTGACTTGACGAAGAAGCGGGTTACTCTGACAAAAAACGAGTTTGTCTGACGAAAAAACGGGTTATCCTGACAAAAAACCAGTTACCCGGACAAAAAGTGAGTTGGTCTGACGAAAAAACGGGTTGATCTGAGGAAAAACGGTTGCTCTGACAAATAACGGATTGGTTTGACAAAAAACGGGTTGATCTGACGAAAAAACGGGTCGACTTGACGAAAAAACTGATTACTCTGACAGAAAACGCGTTTGCCTGACGAAAAAACGGGTTGCCTTGACCAAAAACGGGTTGGTCTGACGAAAAACGGTTGCTCTGACAGAAAAAGGGTTGGCCTGACAAAAAACGTGTTGGTCTGACGAAGAAACGGGTTGCACTGACTAAAAAACAGGTTGCCCTGACAAGAAAACGGGTTGCCCTGACGGAAAAACAAGTTAGCCTGGCGAAATTCGATTAAATCCTCGCATTCGTGCGAGTCGTCGATGGGAATGCACCTGGACAGGTATGTAAGAACCGTTTGCAAGGTTCGGGGAGAATGAACTAGCTTCCCCGAGCGTGTGTTGGTCGAGCAATCCTCCGGTGCCTGCGGGTGGTCTTCCCGCGCTTAGTTTAGCGTACGTGCTAATGCGAATAAAAAAATATGGCGAAGCCATAAGACGTCGGCGAATCTTCGCTAATTTTATCCAATTCTCCGGAGTTTCCAGACAAGAACCCGGCGCGCATTTTTCCAACGAGCATTTCCGAAGCGGTTGGAACAACGGTTTACCGAATCACACGATTATCCGTGAAATGCGCGCGTCTCCACTCCCGATCCCGCTCTGCTTATGTGCCTGCGAGCAGGATGAGGGCAGGTAATTGGATTCACTAGGTGTGCTTCTGTCGTGCACGCGGCTGTTCCAGTTTCGAACCGGTTCGCGCCACTTGCTCGCCATTTGAACGTTCTTATCACTCGGGATACCCTCTTGCGCCTTTACAACTGTAATCTCGGCTTGCCAACGTAAAAACAGCCGCGATTTCACTCGCGTCTTATCGATACAGCTATCTACGCTCCGGACCAGCCACATTTTCTTCGACTTTCGAGAGGAATAGGCGAGATCACATATACGTAGATGGAAATTCGATCGTCTCTGGAGGAATTACCGATTCTGCCAATCTACTGGGTATTTCTCGCTTGTACGTATATGGAACTTTTAGTCAATTTTGATGTTTCGCTGATATCAGGAATGTTTCTTTTTCGTCTTTTCAGGGAAGAATTTTTAATGGGGTTTCTTTGTTATTTCTTATTTCATGGAACAATTTTTCTCGTTCTTCAAAATTCTGATCACAGAGTTCTTTTATGGTAATAATGTTCTTGGCGGTGTTATTTATTTTTCTCAGTTTTGGGTCTTACAGAATAATTCTCAAATTATTTCTTATTTCATGGAACAATTTTTCTCGTTCTTCAAAATTCTGATCACAGAGTTTTTTTATGGTAATAATGTTCTTGGCTGGTGTTATTTATTTTTCTCAGTTTTGGGTCTTACAGAATAATTCTCACTGAATTGGCAGAATGTCTTTTCTCTTCTTTTCAAAAATTAATTATTTCTTATTTGTTCATGTATAAGATCTTAGTTAATTTTAATATTAATCTGAAATTAGTCAAGTTTTATATTGACATTTTGAGAAAACAGTTTTTAATGGGGTTTCTTTGTTATTTTTATTTTTCTATGGGTCGAGAGATATTTTTTAATTATAGAGCAGAATCTTCCATCTTTTTCAAAATTTTGATTGAACTGAAAATATTTTCTGTGATAATAAAATTCCTAGCTGGTGCTATTTCTTTTCTTAATTTTTGGGTCTTACAGAATAATTCTCACTGAATTAGTACAATTTTAAATAGAGTGTTTTAAGTTAATAAAATTTTGTACTGTCTTCTATCTTCTTTTCTAAAATATATTTTCTAGTTATATCTCATTTGTAAATGTACAAAATCATC